AAAAATTTCCATGAAGTTAGGTCAAAAATCTGTCTAACTAGGGCAAAATTTCACTGTCTTTTTTAGTTCATGAGCATGTATTCACAAAATTATAACTTGAGATCCAAGCACTTTTAGGATAAGTTGTGTGAAGCGAAGTTGTAGATTTCATGGAGATCTACAACTTTCATGTTGGAAGTTTCCTTTGAATCATCTTGTATCATGGTGAAAATTTGGCTTAAAGTTATGAAAAAATAAAAAAATTTCAAAGTTTAGAAATTTTAACTTTTCAAAATGAAATATTGATTTCTTGATGAATAAGTTTACTATTTTGACATGTTTTGGTGAATTATGATCTTTGGCACTTGAATTTGACCAAAAAGTCAAAGTTTGACTTTTCAGTATACAGTTGACTTTTGATCACTTGACTGCAAAATTCATTTGTCAATCCAATGGACTTGTAATGTTTTGAATCTTGTCATTAGTTCAAAATGGTGCACTTTGAATCTTGAAATCATGCCTTAAACCAATTGATCATTTGCTAGGTTAAAAAAATCAGAAATTTCCCTTTCTCAATCAAAACCCTAATTTTGACCATTTTGCCCTTTTGAAGATTTGATCAAATTTCTTAAGGAATTGTGGTCCAAAATTGATCAAATGATACATATGAGTCTAAAATGTTTATGTGGATAAAAAATTATGAAGTTTGACTGTAAATTGGCTATGGTTGACTTTTTCCCCAATATAGTTGATTTTTAGGTCAATTGTTCAATTGACTGATCAAAAGTGTGATCCAAGGCTTGAAACTTGACATGAGTGATCTTGGGGATCCATAATGGTCCATGAAATTCATATGAAGCATTGATAGTCCAAAAATACTTGTGCAAACTCAAACCCTAATTTTGGTCATCAGTGCATTAGGAGGTGTCTTGAGTTGATCAAACCCTGGTGCAGTCTTGAGCCTAAAGAAATCTTATGAGAAAATTCTTGATAAGTGAGAGAGCAAATTTTGGGGTACAACAACCACCAATACCTTAACACTTTGCTTGTATCTCCTTGTTCCCACTCTTACTTGATCGTCGGAGTGCCTTATAGGTACAAGCCCCTTTTCTCCTCCTCGACATCACAACCCGACTACAGATCATCATTCGACCACCTTGCAGGTTCTGATCAACCGGTAAGATCAGTTTTTAAAGTTAATTGTATTGAACATGATTAATATATATATATATATATATATATATATATATATATATATATATATATATATATATATATATATATATATATATATATATATATATATATAAAATTTAATATAAAATATCAATACAAATATATTTTATATTTATCTAAATCAATAGTAATCGATAATAATTTAATAAAACGTATCCGCACACCACACGGACAGATGTCTAGTTAAGTAAAAGAAAAGCTATTCTAAAGCAAAGCAAAATAATCATACTATATTTTTATTCATAAAGATGTAAATGACATTATTGGGTTCGAATATTAGGTGGGAAGGATACTTGGCCAGTGCCATGACCTCTCGGCACAAACTCTGAACTACTAGGACCTCGTTCCCCTAGAAACTAGAGTGTGAAAGCCAAAAAAAGATGTAAATGATATTATTAGTGAAAGCAAAAATTATTCTTATTCTATTTTATTATTCAATTTAATAAAAATAACTTGATAACTTATATTTATTTAGTAATTAAAATTAAATCTCATAATCAAGTAAAAAAATGTGAAATGTAAATTTGATTAATCGATAAAAAATAGTGATAATGCAAATACGATTAAACAACTTTGATTCTAAAACTTGATTTAATTACTAAAATGATATGTGAAGGTGCTTCAGACGATTTTTGATGCAAAAAAAAAACCAAAAATGATTACCAACTAAAAAAATGAGAAAGCAATTGTGAATTCAATACTAATGTAACATACGACCTGTAAAATCGAAATTTATTTTGGATGTAAATGAAGGCAAGAAGACAATTGATGTCAAGTGGGTATACAAGCTGAAGATGAATCCCAAAGGGGAAGTAACTCGACACAAAGCAAGGCTTGTGGTGAAAATGGTTTCTCCAAAAAGAAGGAATAGACTTCGATGAAGTTTTTGCACATACGGCTAGAATCGAAACAATCAGGTTGGTTGTTGGTCTTGCAGGAATAAACAGTTGGCACATATGTCAGATGGACGTGAAGTGTGCATTCTTGAATGGACCCTTAGAATAAGAAGTTTATGTTAAACAACCAGTTGGATTTGTGAAACATGGCGAAGAAAGAAAGATGTACATACTCCATAAAGCCCTGTATGAATTGAAACAAGCTCCAAGAGCTTGGAATAAGAAGATTGATAGTTTTCTAAGGGAGAAGGAATTTGTGTGAAGTGCACAACTGAATATGGAGTATATGTAAGAAGAAGCAATAGTGAATTGCTTATGTTATGTCTCTATGTTTATGACTTGTTAATAACAGGTAACAGCAAGAAGGAGATCGAAGACTTCAAATGTGATTTCAGCAAGGAATTCAAAATGTCGGATCTGGGTGACATTTCATATTTTCTTGGCATCGAATTCTACAAGACTAGTAGAGGTTTGATGATGCATCAAAGAAGATATGCAGGAGGAATTCTCAAGAGATTTAAGATGGAAGAATGCAACTCGACTTCAACACCTGCAGAATTAAGACTACAACTGTTGAAAGATTCAGAAGAAGATGATGTCGATCCAACCCAATACAAAAGACTTATTGAATCATTAAGATACCTTTATTATACAAAGCCTGACTTGGCATACAATATACGTATGATAAGTAGACTCATGCAGAAGCCAAAGGCATCACATCTAGCAGCTGAAGAGGATACTTAGGTATCTGAAAGGAACGCTCAACTATGGCGTTTTATTTCCTGCAACTGATAAAGGAAAATAGTGCAAGTTAGTGGGATACACTGATTCGAGTTGGTGTAGTGATGTTGAAGATCGAAAATCCACATCTAGATATGTGTTTATGCTAGGTGGTGCACCAGTTACTTCGAGTTCGAAAAAGGAACCAATAGTGGCATTATCATTGTGCGAAGCAGAATACATAGCTGCTTCTCTTTATGCATGTCAATCAACATGAATTGGTCGAAGAAATCACAGGTAAAGATCATGGAGCAATTATCATGAAGACCAACAACATGTCAGCTATCAACCTGGCAAAGAACCCGATAGCACACGGTCAAAGCAATCACATCGAAATGAAATTTCACTATCTTCGAGAGCACGTAGTAGATGGGAAGATAAACTTAGAACACTGCAGAACTGAGAATCATATTACAGACATCACGACGAAGGGTGCCCGGGTCGAAGTATTTCGAAGACTAAGAGCTATGATGAATGTAGATAGATTAGACACAATGAATTAGGTAGTGTGTTAAATTGTAATTCCTTGTGTCGAAGCAAGTTGCTCGATAGAGACAAGAAAGTGTCGAAAAGATTTAATTTGATTTAGAAGTGTGAAAACAGTTTGTTACACACAGATTTTTGTTTTAGATTTAGATGGATTTGATTTAGATCTAAAATAGAATATATTTAATTTAGTTTCAAAATAGATATTTTAAACTTTTATAGTTTTGAGCTTTGACTTGTGGAGCAAACTAACATAAATCTATAAATAGAGATAGTAACTCTTATTTTTGTAATCAAGTCAATCAACTCATTGTATTCATCGAATTTGGAGTTGCAAGTAAATAATAAAATTTTCCACAATTTAAGATAGAGAAAAACTTTGTAGAAAAATATTTTATTTCTTTCTTTATCTTTTATTTTTTCATTGTCATTGTTCATCGATAACAATTTTATTTATCAAGATTAAGAAAAATTCATCATAAATTTTGATAAATTTCCAACTAAAACGACCATAAATAACAACCACAAATACAATCTATACGCAATGAATTTGACTACACTAAAATAGCCACTGCCTCCTACAAAAACAACCAATCCTCCAACGTGAAAGGAACCAAACTCAAACTCAGTAAAGAAGTAGGCACATATATTAAATTATGTTCCAAAAATCAATATAATGTAATTGTTCTATTAGTAAAAGCAGTCAAAGATGGAACACAATACATTTAAAAAAATATAAAATAACTTTGGCAATTTTTTAGTAACATCAACTTGATAGTTTTTCTTTTCAATGCATTTAAAAAATAATAAAATAATTTTGACAATTTTTTAGTTTCTTTCCACGAAATAAGCTAGCAGATTCGAGACGTGTTAGGGAGGGAAAGCATTATCATCTTATCCGTTGCCGAAGACGACTCTGATTCCAAACATTGCCGTGTCAAAATCTTTTATTGCTCAAATTTGTCTACGTGTCACGATATCATGGGTAGAGGTGCCTTTACTTTTACGCAACCTCGAATAATTTTAAGCTATAAATTCAAAAGCCCCAATGACACATTATTCATATATACATTGCAGAGAAGAGAAATCGCGAACACACTGAATCAAGGTATCTTCTACCCTTCATCTTTTCACAAAGATTCTGATTATTAGGTTTTTGTGTTTCTCAATTGATTAATCATTTCATAAACTTTGATTTTTATTTGGTTTATCAGACTTCATAATTAGGGCTTTGTCTTATTTTTTAGTCGATTGTTGATTAGGGTTTTGTCTTATTTTTTAAACCTTGTTGGTTAAGGGTTTGGTCTTATTTTTAATTGATTGTTGAATATGTTAGCTATGATTTTGATCTAATTGTTGATGGCATTTTACTCTATCAATAATCTTATAATTGTGAAACTTTTCTTTGATTAATTAGCAAATTTCTTTCAATATTTGTATACTAAATTTCTCATAACAGAGGAATATATATTTATCGAATCTCTAGTTTTGTCAGGATATTTGTTCTGTATATGTGTAATTCGGTATTGGTTGATTTTATGCTTCTTTTGTATGTTACATGTGGTTTTTATGTGTAATCTGAATAAAAACTTGTGATTGATTAGTTTGTTTATGATAATATAGATGCAAATCTTCGTTAAGACCCTCACTGGCAAGACAATCACTCTCGAAGTCGAGAGTTCAGATACCATAGACAATGTTAAGGCCAAGATTCAAGACAAGGAAGGGATCCCGCCCGATCAACAGAGGCTCATCTTTGCTGGCAAGCAACTGGAGGATGGGCGTACCCTTGCTGATTACAACATACAGAAGGAATCAACTCTCCATTTGGTGCTCCGTCTCCGTGGTGGGATGCAAATTTTTGTCAAGACTCTCACTGGAAAGACCATCACCCTTGAGGTAGAGAGCTCTGATACTATCGACAATGTCAAAGCCAAGATCCAGGACAAAGAGGGCATTCCACCGGACCAGCAGAGGCTCATCTTTGCTGGCAAACAGCTTGAAGATGGCAGAACTTTAGCAGATTACAACATCCAGAAGGAATCCACCCTTCATTTAGTGCTCCGTCTCCGTGGTGGTATGCAAATCTTTGTCAAAACCCTTACAGGAAAGACCATTACACTAGAGGTGGAGAGTTCAGACACCATAGACAATGTCAAGGCCAAGATCCAGGACAAAGAGGGCATTCCACCGGACCAACAGAGGCTCATCTTTGCTGGCAAACAGCTTGAAGATGGCAGAACTTTGGCCGATTACAACATCCAGAAAGAATCCACCCTCCATCTTGTGTTGCGACTTCGTGGTGGTATGCAGATTTTTGTGAAGACCCTTACAGGCAAGACAATTACTTTGGAGGTAGAGAGCTCAGACACAATTGACAATGTGAAGTCCAAGATACAGGACAAAGAGGGTATCCCTCCAGACCAGCAGAGGTTGATTTTTGCTGGAAAGCAACTTGAAGATGGCCGAACTTTGGCTGATTACAACATTCAGAAGGAGTCCACCCTTCACCTTGTCCTCCGTCTGAGGGGAGGTATGCAGATCTTTGTCAAGACATTGACCGGAAAGACCATTACCTTAGAGGTGGAAAGTTCAGACACCATTGACAATGTGAAGGCAAAAATACAGGACAAGGAAGGAATCCCACCAGATCAGCAGAGATTGATCTTTGCTGGGAAGCAACTGGAGGATGGAAGGACCCTTGCTGACTACAACATTCAGAAGGAGTCTACTCTTCACCTTGTATTGCGCCTTCGTGGTGGATTTTAGCTTTTTTCATGTTTCAGTCTTTAGCTTTAATGTTTCAGAACTTGTGTATTGGGTTCCTAATTGCCCTGGAAACTATTGTTTGTGATGTGGTTTGTGTATGACTATGCTCTACTTTTTATTTGATGAATGTGGACAATTTGTTGGTTTATTTTATTGCTATCCCTGAGATTGAGAATGTATTATCCCGAGCAGCTGGCACTTCTTTGAGGTGAGAAATGTGTGTCATATCTCTCTAGTGTAGTATTTGGTCTAAAGGGTTTTTACCGAGACATTTGAGGATGCAAGTTTCATGTTAGAGAGGTAACCTTTCCCTTCTCAATTAAAAAACTTAAACTTCAATCACTAAAGGGCGAGCTTAGATTTGAGTTGTCATCCTTGTTTGGAGGGGTGGATGATCCATGCCTTCATGCCAAACAGTGATGACTTTTTCCACTAGTCCGTCCATTCACTCTCGAAGCCATTACAGACTTAATTTCCTGGTCCTAAATTACCAAATGTAACACCACTGTCACATTACCATTACCAATGGGATTATTTTATTTTATTTTGTATTCTGTGAACTAGAGCACCTTCTTACTATACAAGATGGCGTGAGCAGGAGAAAGAATATGGCTTTATGGAAATTACTAGGTCAGCTGAATAAGCTCTTTCAATATGATGTTTGGTTTGCTTTTTGTTTTGATATCTGTTTTTAGGAGTATAGTGGCGGTAATCATCTTCCTAATACCTGTTCATGTCTGGTTTGAGCCTAAGAAGGAAATATCAAAGAACACTTACACACCAAGGTTCGAGAGCTTTGTCTTTTTAACATACCAACTGATATTTAACTTCCTAGAATATAGGCAAAGGTGGGAGGGATAAATTTGTAAATTCAACAACTCATTAAGCTTCAGGCCATGTCTTTCAAAATTATATATGACTGTACAAGGCTTTGGTTTTTCCAAAAGATCAGTTGATCACTCCCTCTGGCAGCCACATTGTTTTTCTCTTGATCTGTGTAGATGATGTTGTGGTAATCGACTTCCATTGAATCCATTGTCGTATCATTCACTTGGTTGGATCCACTTCTGCTACTTTAACAAATTCAGTCACATGTATCCAACTTTCTGTTATCATGATCATCACTGAATTTAATAACTTCTTCCTTCCTCTCTCTTCTAACTCACCTGCTATTTAGTCACGGCAGATCCTACACAAGCTACCACAATGACCAGCTTCGTCCTAACTTCTTTCTTCTAGTTCCGGTGTCTCTTATTTGAGCTCGAGCCACAACTTGGTCCAAAGGTTGAAGGATCCAACAGTTACCTCATATGGATCCAACAGGTTGAAGGAATGGTTTTCACTCAGAGAATGTACAAAGTGGTAGTGAATTCTCAAATCTCGCCGAAGTTCAAGATAAATCAAGATTGACTTGAAGAAAAAAATTCTGAAAAGTATGAATCTTGGGTTGTGTAAGATCAAGTTCTGTTCATTGATCTTATTTCGGTATTACCTAGAGTCCTATCATGCAAATATGTGCTTAAGTGTGGGACAAAATTCAAGGTATTTCAATGCATATGTGAAGGCGGGAGTTAGACAGTTGCTAGTTGAGTTGAAATCAATGAAGAAAGCAATCGCGGTTGTTGATTTCATTTATATCAACTTAAATAAGAAAATAGTTATCTATGTTATTTGAAATAAATATTTACCCATTTAAATACTTATTATTCCTCTAAACATTTTAGTAATTATGATTTATGTTATAATATATTTGACGGAAAAACTTATCGATCATACTTTTATATCCAAAACTAAAACAAATAACATCGATGAAATGGAGTACATTGATTGCAAACATTGAATCAAAAAATGTTGGCAGCCTAGTGGAGAGAGCATGTAGCCTTCAAGCATAAGGTCTATGGTTCAACCATAAAGTCTAGTGGAGAGAGCATGTAGCCTAAAGGTTAGGGCCCCTTTTAGGGTCAAAATTTTGAAATTTTACATTTTAACTATTAACAATTAAATATAAAATAATATAAAATGCCAATGTAGATTTAAAAGAAAATGAAAAATAATAAAAACCGTTAACTCCGTCATCTACATCATTAAAAAAAGTAAAAATTAAAAAAAGAATGCCACGTCAAAATTTTGAAATTTTACATTTTAGTTTTTAACACGCAAATAATAAAATAATAATAAAAATGTGAACGTGGATATTAAAAAAAATGAAAAATAATAAAAATTGTCAACTAAATCATCCATATCATTAAAAAAATGTAGCATTAAAAATTCTAATAAGAGGTTAAAACAATGGAATCTTCAAATATATAGAAAAATTTATTATTTTTTTTATAAAAGAGTTTTTAAAAGCGCCTATATGACAACCTCTTCTAATAAAAAAAAGGTACTATTTTTGTGTAAATCTTGTTGTTTGGACATCTCATAGGATCCATGTTCTCTTGTCTTATATTGTGTATATTACTGGCTTTGAGGTTGTCCACAATGATTTACGGCCCCCTCTTCTCATCCATCTTGTTATGGATTTTATTATTTTTACATTGTATTTGTAGATGCCTACACCAAATATACCTGGATATATTTCTTGAAACATGCTTCGAAACTGTTCATTACATTTGTCAAAACCCATTTTTATACCAAAATAATATTCATACAATCAGATCTCGAGGGAAAATTTAGGCCATTCACAAAATATCTAATTGAACTAGACGTCTCACACCAACTAACTTGTTTTCATATCTCTCATCAAAATGGTACAGTTGAACAAAATCACAAATACATTGTTAAAATGGGGTTAACCATGCTAGCTCACTCATCCATGCCTCTGAAATTTTGAGATCATAGCTTTTCCACCTCAGCTCACATTATTAATAGACTTCGAACTATTGGTTTAGGTATTTTGACTCTCCATTACATACATTGTATCTCAAATTATCCAGCTACAAGTCTATCAAAGTGTTTGGTTGTTCATGCTTCTCTTTTAAAATACCCTACAATAAACACAAATTTGAATTAATAAGCACATAATGTATGTACTTAGGAGTCCCATCCTTTGTTCCAAACGTATCAATAACGCGAGAAAGAATTTCATCTTTAAAGATGTTGTGTTCAATGAACAATACTTTCCCTTTCCAACTATGTTTCAAACTGATACCTCATGCAAGATCAATTGTGTATGTAGTTCTAAACACATTCCTTGCCTTCTCAATTGTCTAATGTAAACTGGTAACATGGCTTACACAACGATCTTTGTGGTAACCGAGTCTACTACATAAGTTGTGTAAGATAGTTTTTCAAGTCTTGAGTCTCAAACGAGACTCATAGGAAGAGTTTGAGCAATAGTCTGACACCGAGTGTCCCCACTAACACTACTCAATTGTCTCAATCTTTTGTGTTACCTAGTTCTGAACCTAGTGATCCCTCAACCCAACAACATGTTGTACCTGACTTTGAACTTATTGGTCCTTCCTAAGATTAATCCCCTAGCACGTCTAGACTCAATGGTCATTGTCCTAAGGTAACAAACACTGCTAGCTGGTCATGCCTCTATCACCCTTGATACATAGTAGTGCACCTCGGGAAAATCTTTTTCTAAATAATCATCCCATACTCACAAAAGCCAAAACATGTCACTCTAAACCAAAATTCTTTCTCTTTTATGTTGAATGAAGTAATCTCAAGCAAGCCTTATCTCAACCTGAATGGAATCAAGCAATGCAATTGTAATATGATGCACTTATAGTGAACCAAACTTGGATACTTACCAATCTGCCACCTCATAGAAAACCAGTTGGGTGCAAATGGATGTTCAAAGTGAAGGAAAATCCAAATGAGGCTATCAATAATACAAATCAAAGTTAGTAGTCAAAGACTACCACCAACAATTTGGCTTTGACTTCAATGAAACGTTATCTATACTTGTAAAGACAACTTCAATCGGGGTTATACTTACATTAGCTCTAACATATAAGTGGGATATTCAACAAATAGACATAAATAATATATTTCTCAATGGATCCATATAAGAAGAAGTTTACATGTCACAACCACTTAAATATGTGCCTCAAGATCAAACTCTAGTATACAACCTGAATAAAGCACTTTATGAACTTAAGCAAGCCGCATGAACATGGTACGATCATTCAACTTGGTTTCTCTCATAGTAGGTGTGATAATTCATTATTTGTCTACTTTCATCAAAGCATAACTCTGCATGCACTAGTGGATGTAGATGATATACTAATCACTTGTTTCTCACCAAGTTTAGGTCATGAGCTAATCAATTGTCTTCAAGCCATATTTGCACCAAAAACGTTAGACAGACCCGAGTACTTTTTAGGAATAAAAGTTAAAACTCTGAACAATAGTTTCATGTTACTCATACAGTCCTAATAGGTCAATGACATGCTAACGGTGTACCAACCCCGTGTTGAGTAATTGCAAACAAATATTTCTCTTATCCTCAGTTGTATAGGTCCACAGTTGGTGCTCACTAATATGTCACCCTAACTAGACCAGACATTGCGAATAAGGCATATCAAATTATGTCTTTTCCTTTGGACTCCCTTTGGTTTGTGGCAAGAAGGATCATGAAATATCTTAATGGAACCCTGGCACGTGACTTGTTTCTATCTCATTCTTTTTCAATACACAGGTTTTCCTTGAGAGCTTATAGTGACTCTGATTGGGAAAGTGATCTAGGTGATCACAAATCAACTTCTAGATATTGTATTTACTTTAGGTCTAACCTTGTTTCATGGAGTTCCAAAAAGTAGCCTTTATGGTCAGGTCTAGCACAAAGGCTGAATATCAAAATCTTGACAAACACCACTTTAGAACTTCTATGGTTAGAGTCATTACTAACTTAGCTTTCTATTTTCCTCCTTACTACTTACACTCTTATGTGATAACGTAAGTGCAGAGTTTCATTTCAACAATCCAATCCTTCATGCGCATATCAAACACAGTGAACTTGATATACATTTTGTGAATGAGCGAGTTATATCCAAGAAGATGCTGATCCAATGTTACTTTTAAATTATTAGAGTTGTCAATGAAACAATATTAGCATTTCATAAAACTCTAGATTCAATCTTATTCTATCAAATGTTAACAAAATTTGGCTGAGTTTTAAACAAAAATGAGATGCCAAGAGTTGTTACTTAAAAAAATGTTCCCAAATTCCTTGTCTGAAATTTATTTACTAATGTTCGAGGATCCTCCATATTTATACATTCCGAATTTTCAATAGATATGAAAAGATTTTATGAGAAAGGGTAAATCATTCATCATAACACGTCCATAACCAAAAAGGTAATGCCAACTATGTATTGGACATATCCACACTCTTCTTAGCACATACTTCAAATTTTCAGAGTGGCAAAATAAAAAATATGAAGGATTCAATGTTGCTTACATGCAAAGGCCTCCTCTTTGTCGCAAGCATTACTGTTAAGATGAGAGGAACCATTGCAGCAGACAAATGCTTAAGTGTGTGAGCACTGACAGTATGAAAAGTTGCTGCATAAATCAATCTATCAGCAGTCTATTGCAGTGTAGCTAGAGGATAAAATCCTGCCAAGATTTTATTTGAAATTAATTAGAGCCATTTAAAGGAGTGTTGAATAAAAACAGGTAATATATCCTACAAAAAGTACAAACCTGCAGCCCATAGCCAATACTCCTTTTCTCCTTTGACAGTGCATTGAATATGTGACAGATTTTCTCTCCAATGTTCCTATTCTTATATCAAAGTTACTTTTCTTGACTTATGCATGGTTTAGGTGATTTTGTCTCAGTTTCTAGTTAATATTAAGAACCAAAAACTTCAATATATTAGAGTAAACTGTTAGTATAGAACAACTAAGCTGAGTCAGCATGTAACTAACTCTATAACAGAATGTGCTGAGTCAGCACATTCTGAACTGAACTATATAAGTTCAGTTTCCCTCTCTTTTGTAATCAACTTTGATAATAACAAATTCAGTTAGAAATTCAATGAATACTTTCTCTCTCTCTCTCTCTCCCTCTCTCTTCCTTTATCAAACTCTATTACAAACTCTATTACAAGAAACAAGTACATTGAAGTTTTAGAAGAACCTTAGGTAAAGGTACTATGGACTTGTAGAGTATTTTCAATAAGGCCTAGGAAACTCTTTCACTGTTCGTTATGGCTCTGCAATAGGAGAGGGTCCACCCTCAGCTAATTCAGGGGCAGTTAGATCCAACCCATCTATTTTTAAGATCCATAAGCCAGAGGCTGAAGGTGTTATGACTTTTATGTACACACTTCATTTAATTAATGGAAAAATGTGCTAAACAAGTGGTGGCAAAATACCATTACCATTATTATGAAATGCTAAGCAAAACAGATTAAGAGGACAACAAAGAAGCAATTTATCAAAAGAGAGAAGCAATCCTTAAAACAATAGTTCTTCGTTGAAAAACTTATGAAACGGAATGAATACATTCTTTAAAATAGTTAACATTCATTCTTAAAAATAGTTCACTAATATCGAAACTGATATTATAAATGAATTGAAATATGAATAAAAGAGCATTGTTGGAGCTTATATTGGAACAAATATATGTAAACAATTTGCGGCCTAGAATGAATATGACTTCTAACTAATATGTTTCATGAGAGAGGAGGTAACATATATGATGAATTTTTTTAATAATTATGCAAAATTAATGTGAAGCAAAATAAGGAATGAGGTAAATATTGTTTTGCAATCGATATATGCAGTACATGTATGTTGTCAGGTAAGCAAATGGAAGTGGAGAGAATGAGTTATTGATGTAACAGAAATCTGTAGTTATGCTAGCAAGTCTGTAGTCATGAAAGGAAAGGGAAATATGTTGTCTCCAAGTTGCTGCATCAAGTGTAGTATTTGTTTTTATCAGTTTAATATCTGATATGTGGACCAACGGTCCACACGATATTAAATTTATTTTTTGAGGGGGAGAGACCACTACAATAGCTTGCTATTGGGTTTCTCAAGTGTTGCTTTTGCGTTGCACTATTGCAATAGCCCGACACACCCCCATCAAACCTAGTTCAATATTATAATCTTTTTTCCTGTTGACATTTTACATTGTCAGGCTTTGTGCTGTAAACAAAACTCAACATCCAATTCAACCTCCCTTCAATAAAACTTGTATTTTAATTTGACTGTATTGAAGACACGTTATAATCAACGCACAGCTGGCCTGAAACTACATCCCTTTTAGAATTTAGGTACAAAACAACTTTGCTTAAATGCCAGCTCTCACACCAACTCCAATGCTGCCAACATTCCTAACGCATCTCTGATATCAACTGTAACGTTGTCATTTTATGTTGTACATGCTGTCTTGGCTCATCCTTCATGTTCGTTTGTCGTGCAGTCCGCCACTCCGTTTGTAAACAACTCCCACCAATGTATTACATCTGCTGCTCTCTCTGATTTGTTGTCCCAAATTGATGAATTCCTACTCCACAATATCATAAAAAAATTCTCCTTTCCTACTTTGACAGTGAATTTAATATGCGACGGGTTTTCTATCCAAATGTTCCTATTTAGCTGCAGCGCATGCTGTGTCTCCACATGTCCAGACTTTGCCAAGTTTGAATACTCTTATTACACAGCAGCAGCACGTGCTCTGCTGTCTCCGAGTCCACTTTACACCACCGATAATCAATCCCAGCCTACACCCTTTTGTATATCAATCTTAGACAAATTGGTCAACATGGTCTACCAGTAGAGAGGTATTTTGCCTACTGGTAGTTGAGTTCCACATCGAAAAAGAAGTGAAAGGTATTGAGAGATGGAGTCTAACACTAGTTGAATCGCTAAATTTCATTCCACATCAGAATAATTTCACAAATGTGTAAGCATATAAGCTATCACAATGTTGTGAAGAGGACATAATCTTTAGTGTTTTGAGTAAAAGAACTTACTTGAAATGCATGATTTTGAAAATCATTATGAAAGACGGTATCTAGATCTTGAAAAATCATATGCTCGGGTGTACATATCTGCCATCACATAAGACCAAACCACCGATAAATGTGGTTATTTTCCGATTATTCCCAAAACCTTGAGTGTCTAATAGAACACATTCCTGGTGAAGCGTAAAGAGGGCTCCCACAACCTGGACCATAAGTTTCAACTGAATTGGTACTATACTGACTGGAAAGGGGAAAAAGTACTACACCTGTTGATTATAAACAAAAATAACTAACTTCACTTGTTGCTTGAAAATACTAAATTTATTGCTTCTTAACACGGAGATAATACACAATGAATGGTTGACTGTTTAAGAAACTTTTTAGTTTCTTCATCACCCGCATGACAACATCCTGCAATAAAAAAAATCAATCATTGCTATGTACATTAATACATGAAAACAAAATTGTAGTATTCAAAAAGTTCAGGACCAAGAATATCGTTATCTTTTACTAGAAACTCAACTTTTTGAACAGGATGAGCAAATAACAAAATGTGCATCCCATAAAGGGTTTTCGCAATTTAGAAGAACTCTTGTTTGTGCTATAGTTGCACCAGCTAAACAAATAGATACATGGAGATCACTTGTTATGATGTTATCTTTTCTAGAGTGTGTTTTGAATCCTTTGACAAAAGGGGATGTGCACATAGTGAGACATTTTCTAAAGCTTCTAAGTCACCATGTAAGAAAATTGTTTCTTCATTGTAGTGACTTTCGTTTTCCTTGTTTTGAGAGTTGTGTGGAACAATTTCACCACCTTAATACAGATTGAGAAGTAGAGGGATGTGATAATCAAAATCATTATAGAATAGAACCTAAAATCTATATTCGGACAAAATTGCTATGTACATTAATACATGAAAACAAAATTGTAATATTCAATAAGTTCAGGACCAAGAATATCGTTATCTTTTACTAGAAACGCAACTTTTTGAACAGGATGAGCAAATAACAAAATGTGCATCCCATAAAGGGTTTTCGCAATTCAGAAGAACTCTTGTTTGTGCTATAGTTGCACCAGCTAAACAAATAGATACATGGAGATCACTTGTTATGATGTTATCTTTTCTAGAGTGTTTTGAATCCTTTGACAAAAGGTGATGTGCACATAGTGAGACATTTTCTAATAGCTTCTAAGTCACCATGTAAGAAAATTGTTTCTTCATTGTAGTGACTTTCATTTTCCTTGTTTTGAGAGTTGTGTGGAACAATTTCACCACCTTAATACAGATTGAAAAGTAGAGGGATGTGATAATCGACATCATTATAGAATAGAACCTAAAATCTATATTCGGACAAAATTGGTTGTAGTTTGTAGATTGCTATAGATCGAAAATGTGTTAGTTTGGATAAACAAACATCACAACAAGTAAAACAACCTGTCCATTGAAATCATATCCACAAATTCAATTTAAACGTAACAGAAATATTTAATACCCACCAAACTACAAAAAGAGATGGTTCAAGGGGCTAGGCTCACCAGGTGTTGCGGGCTGGTGGTACAGTGGCACGTGATCCCTCCACTGTCAGGAGTAGGAAGTATTCGCTGCTCTGTGAAACCAGCCTCACGCTGTACCCCCCGGTCTAAGACCCACAAGACCCATGCCTTCGCACAAGTCCCATCAAAAAGAGATAGTTCAAGAGGCTAGGCAAACCAGGTGTTACGGGATGGTGGTACAGTGGCACGTGATCCCTCCACTGTCAGGAGTAGTAAGTATTCGCTGCTCTGTGAAACCAGCCTCACGCTGTACCCTCCGGTCTAAGAAGACCCACAAGACCCATGCCTTCGCACAAGTCCCATCAAAAAGAGATGGTTCAAGGGGCTTGGCTCACCAGGTGTTACGGGCTGGTGGTACAGTGGCACGTGATCCCTCCACTGTCAGGAGTAGAAAGTAGCTGGTGGTACAGTGGCACGTGATCCCTCCACTGTCAGGAGTAGGAAGTATTCGTTGCTCTGTGAATCACGTTGTACCCTCCGGTCTAAGACCCACAAGACCCATGCCTTCGCACAAGTCCCATCAAAAAGAGATGGTTCAAGGGGCTAGGCTCACCAGGTGTTACGGGATGGTGGTACAGTGGCACGTGATCCCTACCCTCCGGTCTAAGCCACATGGGTCAAAAAGAGATGGTTCAAGGGGCTAGGCTCACCAGGTGTTACGGGCTGGTGGTATAGTGGCACGTGATCCCTCCACTGTCAGGAGTAGAAAGTAGCAGCCTCACGCTGTACCCTCCGGTCTAAGACCCACAAGACCCATGCCTTCGAATAAGTCCCATGGCTCAACTCGCTACACTGTCAGGAGTAGAAAGTAGCAGCCTCACGCTGTACCCTCCGGTCTAAGACCCACAAGACCCATGCCTTCGCATAAGTCCCATGTGTCAACTCGCAACTTAGAGCGGGCAGGCCAACACAGTGTTGCCACCAGACCAACCTGTTAAGGCTTAGCCATGTTCCATCACCTTAATACCCCCACATGGGTCACAAGCTGGCGTTACTCAGCTCGGCGAACTAACTGGCATGTCAAACATTTATAAACACTCCTTTGTGTGATGTTCTAGCCAATGTGGGACTTAAATGGATCCAAAATGGTGTAGTGTTAAGTTAGAACATGCTTTCTTAAATGTTGTGGTTGATGTTATAATACTATATAGAGAGATTATAGGACTGAATTACGCACGACATTTATTAAAGGATTAAACTTATTCAGAAAGGTATACATAAACTAAATACACTCAGCAAAATGATTCAAAACCAATGAAAAAACAGTTAATTGCATACCTGATTTAGCTTAGAGTATCAACAAGCAACATTATAATTTGTGAATGCTGCTTCTTCAAGTTCTGACATTGTTCCCAAAACAGAATCAAATTTCTCTAATGCTTCCTCGTATTTATTAGCATTCTAGCAGCATTTAATCCAGGAAAATAATAGACATTAAGATTATGAGTAAGATGCCATTAAGATTATCAGTAAGATGTCACAAATAAAGATTGTGTAATAAAATATAAGACAGTTTTGAAACTAAAAACAGTGTATTGAAATTTCTTGTTGAAAGCATTATCAAAACATACATGGAGCAATATAACCATGTGTGCCAACAAACCTTGTAACATCAAAATCAGCAATTTTTGCCTCATAATCTTCATCAAGCAAGATGCTGCTAGATTTTATATAGCTATGAATAACAGGTGGAGAACAATCATGTGGCATTACATAAATAAGCATCACATAAACAAAAAATAATACACGGAAAAGAATCTAACCTGGTGGCAAGTACTTTATCACCAACATTGAACACTCTCGCTTTATCAGCTGACCCACCAGATGCAGTAGCATCAATGTAAGGTTGGTCAATCTCTACCTCATACTCTTCATATGGTTCTTCTTCTCCTTCTTCTTTGGATGCTTCTGACTCAAAATCAGATGAAGCTTTGATCACAAAAAAGGAATGGTTTTGATTTTGAGAAATGGGTATTTGAGTAACAATAAGAAGAAGAAGAAGAAGGGTTTCTTGAAGAGCTCTATGAATTTTGAGAAAATTTCAGAGTCCAAAGAAACAAACCCTAAGCTTTGAATTCAAAAAAGTATGTTGAATATGATGGATGATACGCTAGTACTACTGATTAGAAAGCAATAGCAAACCTCATACTCTTCATATGGTTCCTTTGAAGCTTCTTCTTTGGATGATTCTGTCACAGCATCATATGAAAAAGGGTTTGTTCAAGAAAACTATTTTGGCGGTGGGAACAAAATAAGAGCGACTGAGATTTCCATGACTTTCCTACTTCCTTTACCCGCCAAATTTTTATATTTTTACAATTTTATAATAGTCTATAAATTATTTATATCATTTTTTATAACCTAATTATTTTTTTATTTCTATTATCTTACTTTTATAATAATCCTATTTTGATGAAAACAATAAGATGAAGAGCAGGGAGGCGGAAGACAAAGAGATAGGTTATTGAAAACATGAAACTATGGAGTGAGTAAGTGGAAAACAAAAAAAATTATTTGAAAAACACAAAGTGCATTAATAAGTAGTATAAAATATTATATTGACCAAAAAAAAAAAGGTGTTTTATAACATCATGATAATTAGGGTTAATATTTTAAAACCTCATTTATCTTCAAAAAAGATATATTTGATCAATCAAAAAATGATTTATTTACCTTTAAAAAAAGATATATTGACTAAAAAGATATATTTTCAGACCATGTTGTTTTCTTATATGGTAGATTCATGTTTTGTTTTATTATTTACCTCTATGATAATTGTTTGATGATTCTTATCAACTACCTAACTAAGATTAGAAAATGTCACTAAACTCTCTATATTTTTATCTCTATATTTTGTTTAAGAGTTTTCATCTTTTACATATTGTGTTTCTACTAATTTTGACTCTTCTGTTTTCTTCATATTTTTCATTTATATTCAGTTTTCTATGATTTGATCATTTTCTACTATTATAAATTTCTTATATTTTATGAAACTGGGTGAACTGTTGTTTCCGGATATATGTTTCATTAAATTGTCGTCCCAATTTCTAAAACAGGTTCTTCTTTTGATTTAGAAAAATTGCATATTTTTGATCTGGCTTATGTAATTCAAATTTATAACTACTCTTTGTTTGTGATGCTATTGTATCTTAAGTTCAATTTCTCCTTTGTTTTGATGTTCATAATGAAATAGTTATACCTAACATGTTATTGCATCATCGCGTGAGGAGAAAATTACTGAAACAACTTAAGTTACTAATAATTTATGATTTGCTCTTTAATTATTGATTTATGTTTTGTTGTGATTATATAGAGAACTGCATAAAGGTATGTAATTGTGTATTTGTGTTTATGCTCATTGAAATCTAAATTTGTTGATGTTGACAGTTTGCATGAAAATCTTATTTATTTTTTTTATTTTATTCAGGGAATATTTTTCAAGTTATTGCATGGTTTTCTATATTCTTTTACATGGGTTCTTTTGTAGATGGTTCTTGGAGGTTGTCAGGCTTTATCAACTGTTACACTTAATGGTTAAAGTGCTGCAAATTTGAAGTCAAGTTCTATGATAAGTTAGATTTGGGTTTTCCTTCTATGGTGGTTGGGAGATTTCATATGTTTTACAAGCAAAGAAACTTACTCTTTTCAAAGAATATAGAAACTTGCCACAACATGTATCAATAATAGAAAGTGGTTATTTGTAGTAATCTGTAATATCATTGTTGTTGTTATGCCACTGTTCAGAGGTGTTAGGTTGAAATTGCGGTTCGGGGCATATCTGCACCGGATGAGAAATCTGCCTGCTACTGGTTTTGGCTTTGGACAGGTATTCGGTATTTCTGCGTAACTGAATTTGAATTTAGAGTTGTTGTATAAAAGCTCAGGTCAAGAGGATTTAATGTTAAGTTATGACGAAAATTTTGTTTCTGAGGATTTGGACGTTCTGCAAGTTCATTTAGATTATGTCGCCAACTGAATTTTTCTAGTGTGTTCGGTGTTCCGCCAGCATATCATCTCAGAATTTTTTTGCGTCGATGTTGTTAGACAACATTTGTTGATCTTTTTTTAATTAGCATTATAATTTAGAAATTAAAAAAATTATTTATAATAAATTTTAAAAAATAAAGTTAAATTAAAAAATTATTTATAATAAATTTTAAAAAAATAAAGTTAAAGAAATTAAATTTTCAAATAATAAAGATATTTTTATAAACGAAAAAAATATATATATTATTGATAATAATATTTTTATGTATACTATTAATAACAAAGACATATTATAATATTATTATAATTTCATTTGTAAGCTATAAGTAGTTATAAAATATATTTTTAATATCAGAACTTTTGTATAGGCACGAGTATACAAACCTTTTATATTAATGTAGTAGTGATTGAATACCTTTATTAATTATTCAAGTAATAATGGACACTAGACTATATAGAGTAAATTGTTATATTTTATTTGTTTTATTTAATAGTGTAATAGGGATAAAAAGAACTAGTATTATTTGAATAAATTTGAACTAATTTAAATAAAATTTAAGGTTAAATATATATGGTATCCCTATCATTATAACGAGTTTTATCATTATAACGAGTTTTAATTTCAAAATATAAGAATTTTTTGTGATTTCCCTTTACAAAATTTCGATTTCATCTCTAAAGACCATATTGTTACTATTAGGGGTGTTCAAATCCAAACCAATCCAAATAAAAAATCGAAAACCGATCCAAAAAACCAAAAACTGCAAAAAACCGAAATTTATTGGATGTGTTTGGATGTTATTTTGTGAAAACCGATCAGTTTGGATCGGATTTCGGATTAATTTTTCAAAATCGATCCAAACCAAACCAAACCGCATACATATATTTTTATACTTATTTACTTTTTATTAGTATGATATGCTATGTGAAATTATTATTAGATGATAATAATTTTTTTAATAATAGTTATTAGCTTGGTATAATTTATTTATTTTTATTATTTCAATAATAATCAACTACTCTCATTTTGTAATATTAACTTTTAATATACTATATGTTATATATTATATCAAATCTATGATTTATTAGTAGTTTTATAATATTAATAAAAATATAATGTGTAATTTGGATATCCAAAAAACGATCCAAATTAAATCGCATAAAATTGGATCGGATCGGATTGGATTTTTTTAATATATCATCCAAAACCGAACTGAACCGCAAGTAAATTTATCTTTGGATCGGATGATTTTTTATCTTAAAACCGATCCAAACCGAACCGCGAACACCCCTAGTTACTATTGCGTTGACGGTGTAAAGGAATCTTCCTACGTCACGCTCAATATATTGTTAACCGTGTATTAAATTTTATATTTAATTTTTAATTTATTAATTAACATCCATGTAGTTTTTTTTTTTACTTTTTACTTTTTCTTTTTTATGTTCTTTAATTTTCTTTTTTACTTTTATTTATTATTTTTAAATAAACCAGAATATGATAATTTTGGTGGATTTTTTCTTGAATATTTTTTATTTATTAATTATTAAAATATTAGATTGGGCTTAAAAATCATATTGATAGCAACCCAATAGCCGAAGTTTCTAAAGTCCATTCTCTTGTCAAGAAAAATCCAACACTCAAACATTTGAAAAGTGATGTAAAACTGATATTTATAAACACTTTTAATTTATGTTAAACTTTTGATGTGAGACTCCTTTATATCATTTTAACATGGTTTTCATATCAAACACATAGCCATTTCCATTGATGATCCTTCTTGAAATGAAACCCAGAACAGTAGTGGTAAGCATGATAAGCATGTTTCAAATATTTAAGTGAAAGAGAAACAAACTCAATAACATTAATTTCATTTTATAGAAACTGAAGCAACATGTAGAAATGTATAAATGTATGTAATAAATTGTGAGAATTGTACCATAGAAATGCATGTAACAGGTATGACTTCATCGGCTTCTAAAACATCAATGATTAAATATATGGAAATGGTAGCATCGATATCCTGATCAGACACTTCTATAAGCGGTGGAGAAATTAAAGTGGTTATATTATAAACTAAAGTTGAAAAAAACTATTCTAAACAATATTGAGTTTTAAGTCACAGATACACCAATTCAAATAGTAGAATACATAACAATAAAAAATCAACCCAAGAAAAGTTCATCATAAATCAATGATGCAAATTGTGAGAGAAGAAAAGAAATCACAAATACACCAATCCTTGTTGCTTATCTTCTATATCTAGCAGAAGGTTCAACTTTCATAAGGTAACTTGAGTGGATGGATCCTCAACATTAGTATCTTTGGTAGGTGCCTCTATCCCAGCAGGCTCACCTTCTTTCTCTTTGCCTCTAGTGTTGGTACTAGACTTGTCATTGGTTATGCGGACGAGAGTCATTGTAGTAGTGGGTGGTGAAATATCAGGGGATAAGATCCTCCATGTTCTTGTCACTTTACTAGAACCTGCAATATTGGTGACATCAACTTCATCTTTGTTGATCCAAGAATCTTGTTTTATCCCATGATAATAAACCTCGGCACCATAGTTCCATGGAACTGCTTTGTCAGAGGAGTAGGGGATAGGCCCAACGGTGTTAGCTCTTAAATTCGACATCCAGACACATTGGCTTTATTAGCTAAAAATAGACTGAAGAAATCTAAGATATTGAAGAAGTCTAAATTAAGAACCCATCGATTTGGAAACATAGTCTAATTTGAAGATACTTCGAATTGAGAGCCTTTGAAAAGGCTCATCGCAATCATCCTTGTTAAGAAGGAAAAAACACTTAGAGAATTCTCTAAGTTAGAAAGGGTCTTCGACCCAGAGGCTTCGATTTTGTAAGAGCCTTCGACCTGGAAGTGTTCGTATTAGCAACAATTTAAATTCGAATTTGAGGGAGTACCTGGGCTACAGGAGTACTCTTGATAGACTCACCTATGTGATTGTGGAACTTAGGTCGGTTCCTATGGAATTACGAGGCAGGATTCCTAGAGCCTTCACTAAACCGGGATATACGTGCAGGGCCATTAAAGCACGGGCTATTAGAATACACCTTAAGAAAAGGTTGTGTGCGGGTCTGATGTCTGAGATAGAGTTCAAGATAATAGTGTCACTCTTGTTGAATCAGAATCCTACTTGCTACGCAAAGG